GCGTGTAAATGAGGCAGAAAGACAAATCAGCAACCTGGAACTTGGTCACAATTTTGGTGATGCCATACAGCAGCAGGGTCTACCATTAGACAACACATTATGCTTCCAATATCTTCCCAGGAGGTAGTACCTCCCTGTTTGATACCTGCCTACTGCCTACTACTGTAGTGTAGTATTATTTGAAAATAATGCTATGATTATGTTATAAATGTATTTATTTGTTGAATTATTATTACTGTATTTTATGTATTACTTATTTTACCAAACACAAAGACAGCCAGACAGCCTGGCGACCGACTGCGTGTGTTGCCAAGCACTTTTTATGAAAAATAATGCAAATAAAATATTCGAAATGAATTATTTATAGCAAATAAGTACTGTACAGTGGTCCCTCGGTTAATGAACACAATTCGTTCAAGAGGGTCGTTTGATAACCGAAAATTTCGTAAACCAAATCCATTTGTTTCAATGGGATATCGGGTAATTGGCTCCAGCTCACCAAAAAGTTCATACAAAGTAAAAAAAAAAATGCAGTAAAGTATGTAGAAGGTTCCTGGTTGATGATGATGATGAGAATTAGAAGTGGGGGTGGAGAAGGGAGAAGAGAAGGAAGTGGGGATGGAGGAGAAATCACCTTTCAGGGGACCCATGTTTGATGCAGTAATTTCACCAATAAAATTTTAAGTTCACTACGTGTAATTCAAGATTATTTTCTTTAAATCAACACTGCACTGCACTATATATTATCAATATGTTAACTAAATTTCAGAATGACCAATAATTTCAATGTAAAAATGCAAAAATATTCAAGACACCAACAAAATCGATGTTCACTCCACTGTCAACAAAGCCCAACTGACACCTGGTGGCTGAGTCAAGCATCTGATGGGTGCACAAAAAACTAGTTCCCTCTACTGCATATATTATCAATATGTTAAATAAATGTTAAAATGACAAACAATTTTAATATAACAAATGCAAAAATATTAAAGAACACAACTTTCATGATATTTACTCCACTGGAAACGAATGTAAACATAGAACAGATTACTGAATTGGCTGACTAGCTCATCAGCTGAGCAGCTGATGCTCACAACAAAACGTGATGTTTGTAAGGATTTTGTTAATCAAAGTTTTGTTCATTAACTGAATTGAAGATCCTTATGGGAGGTAATTCGTTAACTGAAATTTCGTTAATCGACCGTTCGTTAACCGAGGGACCACTGTATTATGATCAGTAAATATATGCATTACTGCCCATCTCAGACACAAAGGCAAGCTAAAGATAGCTGCTAAGTGTGCTGCCAGGGAAGTTTCTAGAGGGTCAATATATAGTTTTTGTTACTTATTTTTTATTGTTTTGTCATTTAAAAATGTTGAAAATTATTTTTGGAAAGTGGATTTTTCTCATTTACCCCCCGGTGGGGGTACTGCCAGCGGCACCATAACCCGGGGCTTAAGGGTTGAACATGAATGTTATGGGAAATTAACGGAAAATATGAAAGAAATTATCCCTACTGCGACCAAGGCCACAGTGACTAAGAAAATTAATTCCTTCCTCTTTTTTATGTATGGCGTCACTTTCTCCAACAATTCAACGAAAGTTTCACTATCCATTCTCAAAAAGTTCTTATATTCGTGAGGAGATGATACCACTAGTTCCTTTAATAGGGCGTCATGAGAGAACTTGGGTCTTTTTATGTACCATTCCTTCGTCCATAATTTTCTTTTTCGTTTTTCTTTGAAGTCTCTGTTTCAAGAGCAAGTATAATAGCAATACAGGCTGCCTCCTTACTCATGCTGTGTTGAGGCGGTGCGTACAAGACACCAACTGAAGTTTGATCATTCTAGTTGTAAAGTGTGTGGCGATGTATGATCAAACATTATGTTTGACAAACATATTTGATAGTGTGTGGGTGCCTAAGCAGTAACTATTTCTGAACTCTTACATGCATTACAATCTGTTAATGCCATACCTGCAACATTTATTTTTAAATCTACAAATACCTGATACAGGAGGTCCTTCTTATTAGTGTCTTCATTAAAAGTGATTTCGCACTTAAATGGTCAAATAGTTGTGGACCTACACATAAAAAAGTCCCCGCAGTTAAGAGGATTCTAAGGCTGAAATCAGTCAATCTTTGGGAACACAAGTGTTTGAGTGATTGAAATTCCTGCCTGCTTCCCATTCTCTTAAAGGTCATCCTTCTCACTTGTGCTATACTTGCTCAGTACCAGTTGCCTGTCTCTACAGGCATTATTTTGAAGTGCTCTAAGAACTATAATTATCAACTTTGTTGTGCCTCTGGTGACATTGGTGGACTATTTTTGTAGCCATTAGTTCCAAACCAAAGCAAGGTGGTGTAGTGACTTAAAGGAAGCATAGAAGCTATGGGATGGATGTGAAATTAGAAGTTACATGTTATAAATAAAGTGGTGAGCATGTCTCAATGAACCACTTTCCCTGAAATGAGTGTGTGAGTGCATGGTTAGGTTAGGTAGCATGTGCCACGTCAACACACCAACCCCAAACAACTTTAAGTGCCTTAAATAAGTTAGAAAGTTAAATAATTTCATAAAATAATGTGTAAGCAAATGTTTCGAAGGTATATATAAATTAAACTTAATGCGTGTCACTACAATGTGATGGTCCCGATGACACTCTATTCCTATCAATTCTTATGGGAATTAATTCCCCTTTATAAGTGGTTCCATTATCAGTGGGTTTTTTCTGGTCCCTATTAACCACTTTAGTGTTGTATCCATCTACTCTAGTGGGGTATCCATCGGTGTACCCCCAACTCGGCCCATCTTAAATAACCAACTCGGCCCATTTTACATAACCAACTTGGCCCACACACTACTAACTCGGCCCACACATTACTAACTCAGCCCACCTTGCACACTTCAAACAAGTGGCTGACTAGGGGTCCGACTAATTACCCAAATGTAGCCGCAATTAAGTCAAATAATGGTCCTACATGAATAAATCGGACTGCCAACCACTTCTCGACTAGTATTTGGTGTCACAAAGTAAAAAAAAATTGGTAAACTTAATTTAATCTGAGTTAATAGATTGAGTGCATGTACCTAACCTAACCTAACCTAACCTAACCTAACACAACCTAACACAACTCAGATTAAATTTAGTTTACCAATTTTTTTGTGACTTTATGACACCAAATAATAATCGAGAAGTGATTCACAGCCCAATTTACGCTTGTAGGACCATCATTTGACTTCATTGTGACTACATTTGGGTACATTTGGGTAATTACTCGCTTCCTCGGTACATGCACGCGATCTATTAACTCAGATTAAAGTAAGTTTTCCAATTTTTTTTACTTTGTGACACCAAATACTAGTCGAGAAGTGGTTGGCAGTCCGATTTATTCATGTAGGGCCATTATTTGACTTTATTGCAGCTACATTTGGGTACATTTGGGTAATTAGTCGGACCGGCTGACTAGAGGTTCAGGAATGACATCCAGACCCAATCTGCTCGGAGTGTATTTAAAAGGAATGTCTGCACAAATAATGACTGTGAAGGGTGGCACAATCGCCTTAACTTGAAAGCAAGAAAAGGACAACTTAACTTCTATCTATTAATCAAACTACTTCATAATGAAGCAAAACTAGTGACACTCTAGGTGCGGCTCTTGTCCAACGGTAAAGTACTATGAAAACAACGGGCCAAATATGTACTGTACATCACCAAGAACAGCTCTTCAAGCTGTGGGATGAATTCAGTAGTGGACGAAAATCTGCTAAAAATTTGCTACGAGCCGTTTCACATCACGTTACTGCTTATCAGTAATGTTTGTACTTTTATGCTGCTTTTTATCATTGTACTTTTGTACTTTTATCATTCATGCAAAAATATATGTGTAAAATGTGTTCATTAACTTAAGAGGACTGAGTTGGTTATACGAGATGGTCCGAGTTGGTATATGATGGTCCGAGTAGGATGTGGGCCGAGTTGAACTGTATTTGTATCCATCTACTCTACCACTGTATCCATCTACTCTACCACTGTATTCATCTACTCTACCACTGTATCCATCTACTCTACCACTGTATCCATCTACTCTACCACTGTATCCATCTACTCTACCACTGTATCCATCTACTCTACCACTGTATCCATCTACTCTACCACTGTATCCATCTACTCTACCACTGTATCCATCTACTCTACCACTGTATCCATCTACTATACCACTGTATTCATCTACTCCAGTGCTGTATCCATCTACTCTACCACTGTATCCATCTACTCTACCACTGTATTCATCTACTCTCATCTACTCCACTGTGCTGTACTCTACCACTGTATCCACTCTACCACTGTATCCATCTACTCTACCACTGTATATCATCTACTCTACCACTGTATCCATCTACTCTACCACTGTATCCATCTACTCTACCACTGTATCCATCTACTCTACCACTGTATCCATCTACTCTACCACTGTATCCATCTACTCTACCACTGTATCCATCTACTCTACCACTGTATCCATCTACTCTACCACTGTATCCATCTACTCTACCACTGTATCCATCTACTCTACCACTGTATTCATCTACTCTACCACTGTATCCATCTACTCTACCACTGTATCCATCTACTCTACCACTGTATCCATCTACTCTACCACTGTATCCATCTACTCTACCACTGTATTCATCTACTCTACCACTGTATCCATCTACTCTACCACTGTATCCATCTATTCTACTTCTGTATCAATCTGCTCAAGTATTGTATCCTAAAATTCCTTATAAAATACAGATTACACAAGAACTGTGGATAAAGGTGTTAACCTTAGGCCTCTATTAACATGGAGTTGAAAATATCGACGATTTCATCCCAACTTTTGGTTGTTAACAATTATCTCAGCCTTTGAGTGTTACACACCAACTCAGACAAACATACTTAATACGTGCTAATCGCCGTGCTAGTGCTAGTTGATATTATAAGTCAATATACTCACAAAAGGTTTCAAGACTCCACCAACACTAGTTCCCTTTACATTAGGACCTGCAGCTGATGCATACCAACCACACTAAAATAAATAAATACATATTTTAACATGAATATGTATCTATTAATATAATTTTCATTATTTATTTATCTATAAACTAAAATAGTGTCTATCTTATTATTTTAATTGACTATTAAAGTTGGATAGAAGCATTTTTTTAGAGATAAGTATAATACTGCTCGTAGTCAATAGTGGTGTCAGGTTGGCCAGCCTGAGACAGCAGCAGAGGAGGAAAACTTGACCTGCAGTCCCCGTTTTCTCCTTTACACTCTCACTATAAGAATGTCATTTTATCACCATTAACATGACGTATTATTAGTTTATTCTTCCCATACAAAAGTCGAACATAGAGCAGACAATCGTACCATCGTTGACTTTTTTTTTTAAATATTCGTCTTCTTAACTAATTTCAATGTCATTCATATTCTTGCTACAACAATATATATTTTCTGCGTGTATTACTCCAATAAATCAATGGTTTATAATTTTAAATGCGACTATTGATATTCATAAAACCTATGTTCTTCATCAGGAGATTATGTTATTGACTAAGCACCAATTTAAGTCATCCGTTTAATATTTTTCATCACACAAACTCCCCATGGAAACATTGGGGGATATCTAATGTTCTTTGACAATGACTGTCCAATTATTCCCTTCTCACACGACCTAAAAACTGTTCAAGGTATTAAGTCGCATATTAAAATGTAATCAGTCAATTTTGTGTAGCATATGAGGTCTGGGTAGTTAAGCAGGTGCAATATGTGAGGTCTGGGCAGTTAAGCAGGTGCAGTATGTGAGGTCTGGGCAGTTAAGCAGGTGCAGTATGTGTGGTCTGGGTAGTTAAGCAGGTGCAGTATGTGTGGTCTGGGTAGTTAAGCAGGTGCAGTATGTGAGGTCTGGGTAGTTAAGCAGGTGCAGTATGTGAGGTCTGGGTAGTTAAGCAGGTGCAGTATGTGAGGTCTGGGTAGTTAAGCAGGTGCAGTATGTGAGGTCTGGGTAGATAAGCAGGTGCAGTATGTGAGGTCTGGGTAGATAAGCAGGTGCAGTATGTGAGGTCTGGGTAGATAAGCAGGTGCAGTATGTGAGGTCTGGGTAGATAAGCAGGTGCAGTATGTGAGGTCTGAGGGGTAGATAAGCAGGTGCAGTATGTGGTCTGGGTAGATAAGCAGGTGCAGTCTGTGCAGTATGTGGTCTGGGTAGATAAGCAGGTGCAGTATGTGAGGTCTGGGTAGATAAGCAGGTGCAGTATGTGAGGTCTGGGTAGATAAGCAGGTGCAGTATGTGAGGTCTGGGTAGATAAGCAGGTGCAGTATGTGTGGTCTGGGTAGATAAGCAGGTGCAGTATGTGAGGTCTGGGTAAATAAGCAGGTGCAGTATGTGAGGTCTGGGTAAATAAGCAGGTGCAGTATGTGAGGTCTGGGTAGTTAAGCAGGTGCAGTATGTGAGGTCTGGGTAGATAAGCAGGTGCAGTATGTGAGGTCTGGTTAGGTTCGGTTTGGTCATTTATCTTACTTTTCCTTTTATCCTCTTCACCACTGATCGGCTCGTTAGCCGCTAGGGCGATCGGTCACGTCTCTGTTACTCTCTGTTGGCAAGTACTGGGCATGCCCCGGCTCCTGAATGAACCTGATGAAGAGGATAAAAGTAAAAAGTAAAAGTAATATTTTACATGTCAGAGAAGTGTTCATAAACTAATAAATAATAAAAAGGAAAAAGTTATCTTTAAAAAATTTCTTATAATTACATGTTGGAGGGAGGGTTTGTCTATAACGATATGTGCAGTCTGCCTCTGTTGGTCAAAGCAGGTGTCTTTATGGTGTTCTTCATCTGTTTGAAATTATTAACATGGACTTAAAGTCTGAAGAATAGAAAAAATGGGGGCGTTTGTCCTATTTTTTTTTACTCAAGATAAGGTTTTTTTTGTCTTACTTTACACTTTACCTGGGTTTTTTTGTCCTGCGTGGGTTTTGTCCTTCACTTGTCACTGATCTATGGGTTAATGTTTCTAGTGTCTTTGAATTTGAGGAGGGGGGACTTATCTGAGTTCTGGGGGCAGTAAAATGGTCACTTAAAAAGAAGACATTAAAAAGGTGTATTTGAATTTAGCGGGGAGAGAGTTAGAAGGTGAGGATTTGGCAGTGGAGTAGTTAGTGTCCCGGGCGGGTAGGTGGAGCAGTGATGGCGGCCACTGACATGATGACAGAAGGTGACGTCTCTCCTACAGACGGTGACCAGGAAAGGGAGAAAGCATTATATACCCTTAAAGGTAGGAAGATGATGGTGATAATGAGTCTGTTTTTATTGAGCTGTGGAGTATGGAGGAGATTCATGGTGATGGGGAGAGAGAAGATCAAGTCATCTGTTGGGCTGGGTGAAGGTAGCTACCATGAACACATGACATATTTTGACTGTTTACATTTCTCGTTAAATTGAAATGAAAGTTTATACAGTTTCCAGTGTTTATCTTGTTGAACGTAGATAAGCTAATGCTGTTAATAATATAAATTAATTACAGGGAAAATAAAAAACTATGACTTGTTTAATAGCATTTGGAGGAAGAGTTTAATTACAATCTTAGAAATGACTTGTTAGTAAATATGGTTTTAGTTTAATATTTGTTTGATGGAGTGTCATGATAGCCTATGGCCAGGAGTGTTGCCTGTGTAATGGGGGACTCTTAGCTACACACAATTGGAAAGTCAAACTTAACTTTTAACCCCCCAAGCTGTATCTGTGACTTTCATGGTGAAATTATAATTTCAGTCATCCACCTATTTGAAATGAGGGTCAAAATCTTTTCAAACACATCAGAAACCATTCAATGTCACGAAGTGAAGAGGCTGCACCTGGGACGTACCAAAAGTAAGGAGGCGTATCATATGTCCAACGAGATGAAGAAACTGTACTAGTTGAGAGTGAATGTGATAAAGACCTGGGTGTGTACGTTGACATTGATCTGAAGTTGTTGAGCAATTGCGAGAAAAAGGTGAACCAAGCAGCTAAATTAATAAGTTATAAGAAGGTCGTTCAGATATCTAGACGGTCCGTCCCTCGTAACGATCTTCAAGAGAGAGGTGCTTCCCCGCCTGGAGTACCGTCACCCCGTCTGATCCCCGAGATGTGCTAGGGACTGTCAGTTCATTGAAAATTACAAAAGAGCCACCAAGCTGGTGCCAGCACTCCGCCGCCTCAGCTACCCTGAGGAGAGATTACAGCGCCTAGCTTATACTACAGACTGGCGAGGGGGGACCTCAGTCAAGTGTCCATACCGGGAGCTGGCAGACGCTCACCCCACAAGGGGTCACAGCTCAAGATTGAAGAAGCCACAAGTCCAGAAAACTGTGAGGTGTAACTTTTTCGGAGTGAGGGTTGTAAACTCTTGGAACAATCTACCAGAGAGTGTTGTGACGGCACCGAGTGCGAGCTCTTTCAAGACCAGACTTGACCAACACTGGAGCAGGTTCAGGTACATTCAGGAGCCGGTGCATGCCCGGTACTTGCCAACAGTGCATAACAGAGACGTGACCGATCACCCAAGCAGCTAACGAGCCGATCAGTGATGAAGAGGATAAAAGTAAAAAAAAAAAGTAAAAGTTAGGTTCTGACAGCAACCTGCCCCCCAACCCCTTAGTCCCTAGAAACCCCCCAACATTGTAAGATAGCTGTACTAGGACAACAAAATTATGTTTTTTGCAATTTTTTTTTTGAGCTTCGGATGATTATGACCTTCACTTCCGTCAGAAATCACTCGTATTTTGGGAGGGGTAGAGGGGGGGGGGTAATTTCTAAACACCAAAACTGTAAAAACAGGAAAATAATCACTTTTTCCACTGCCATCGGTTAAATAAAGTAATTTTTTATAGGATTTGGGCTTTTCTAGGCTAGGCTAGGCTAGGGTAGGTTAGGTTAGGTTAGGATTCTTTAGTAAGGTTTTCAATTTCTATGATTGTGTTTTAATTCCACATTTTTCCCTTTTCTTCAAATCTCGTCATACTTTGTGCAAAATATGGTTGTATCTCATTAAATAACCATTGGCCCCAAAAGTGAAGGTCATATTTGTTCAAGCCACAACAAAAACATAAGAAAAAAGTATTAAAGTGATAGATATCTTGGTTGGACATGAACGAATACTTTAAGACTAATGGAATCTTTCTAAAGGGAATTTAATAATGAGGAAGTGTTTCTGTAGACTTACTTTATGTTACACTTGATTTATTTTTTGGGGGGAGGGTATTTTTATAGGAGTTTACAGAACATTCCTACGCCAAATCTATTATCATAAAAAAAAGGGTCTAATTTTAAGATAATTTTCTTCTATTACATTACCGTCAGAAACGTGTAATAACGGAGATAGCGCATACCAAATCTTTCTCTATTTAATTCCATTAATCTTCCCTTCATAAATCGTCATGCGATCCCGTACACGTCACGCAACTCGGAGTAAGGTAAGAAATAACAGTGATACCCTCATATGGTGAGAGTCTGGTTACGTAAAAACACGTGAGTTAGATTAGATCAGGTGAGATCAGGTTAGGTTAGGTCAGGTCATCCGAAAAAAGGGTTAGGTTTATATGTTAGTGTTTTTTGGTGTATTTTGTATTCACTTGGCCATGATTTTTGTCGTAAAACGCCCCACCCAAAACCTCGGTTCCAAACAGAATCCCCGATCTTGTTGGGGGTAGAAGGGGGCGATAACTAGAAAACAGGCTATTTTTGATGGAAATCAAGGTCAGAACCAATCAAAACATACAAAAAAACACTAGAAAAATATAGTTTTTACTTTCTAACAAAGTTGTGTGAACTACTATAAATTTATCATATATTGTAAGGTGGTGGATAAATTACTGGTCATGGCAAAATAGCCTACAGACTGTTTTTGGCTAGTTTGCCAGTCCCTAACCCAACCTAACTTAACCTTACCTTACATAATCTAATCTGAATATCTTGTGGACTGCATGCCATAGTAGTACCAATACAGTATATTATTACTGTACTTCTATTACATAAACAATAGATCGGCAAAATAGCCCTGTCATCTATTGGCGTGACCAGTAATTTAGCCTAACCCTGTTTGTAAAGTTTATTGTTAATTCTTTTTGATGGTTGCATATCTTTACCAACAACTTGTGCAAATATTTTTGGGTAGAAGGTAATGTAGCATAGGCTATGTAGGAGATCTCACACTAAGGATGGAGGTGAGAAGGGAAACTCACTATGGTGTTTTCTATAAATTATATTATATGTACAAATGTAGTGCTAGAGAGTTGCTGTGTGGTGAGGAGCTTGTTGAGAGGAGTTCTTGTCTGTTTGAGAGCGTTGAGTAGAATCCTGTTCACGGCGAGGCTGGGGGTATTTATACGAGTCCGCTGGAAGTGAGCAGCGCTGCTGATTGGCTGAGGTGAAAGGCGGAAACTGGCCAATCACCGCGCAGTCCGAAAGCTAGGCTTGGTCTGAGGAGCACACCACAGGGTCTGCTGGTCAGCGACAAATCGACGTTGTAGGGGAGAGTATTCACGACAGTAAATCCTTTCTTACCTCATGAAAATTATTCAAAAGGGAGAAAGAAAATCATTTTATACTAGACAGTGACCCCTCAATTAATGAACACAATTGGTACCACAGAGTCGTTCGTTAAATGAATGGGATATTGGGTAATTGGTTCCAACTCACAGAAAAAGTACATACAAAGTACTGTATACCGGTAATAGAATTAACCAAACATTAAATATAAACTAAATACAGTACGTACTGTACTGTACATTATACTGTACAATAATATATGAAAAACAATAGAATACTGTATTTTAACTTACTTTGAGGTGTATATGTCATATTCCCGGCAGCTTTGTTTACATATCAAACAGCTGATTGTAGAGGCAGTCGATAATGACATGCCATATTCTTTGCAGGGTGCATTGGTTCTAATGCTTTCTTCATGTTTCATAATAATTTCTGCACTGTAAATTATCAACATGTTAACTAAATTTCAGAATGACCAATAATTTTAATGTAAAATGCAAAAATATTTAAGAGAACAACAAACTCGATGTTTACTCCACTGTAAACAAAGTTAAACTGAGAAGCGTTGTTGGGTGATTCATTCAGTGATTGGCGCACAAAAACTGTTCCTTGTACTGTATATATTATCAATATGTTAACTAAATTTTAGAATGACCAATAATTTTAATATAAAAAATGCAGAAATGTTCAAGAGACCAACTTTCTTGTTATTTACTCCATTGGAAACGATTGTAAACATAGAACTGATTACTGTATTGGCGGACTGGCCGGTCAGCTGATCAGCTGATGCGCACAGCAAAACGTGTTTCTCAAGGCTTTCATTAATCGAATTGAAAATGCTTATGGGAGCTAATTCGTTAACCAAAATTTCATTTATTTAACCGTTCGTTAATCGAGGGACCACTGTATTATGTACAATATTATTTAAAAAAGGTAAAATGATAATTTCTGTAATTTCTGTTTTTTCAATGGTTTTTGGCATGTTTTGAATGATTTTGATCTTACCTAACCTAACCTAAGGTGGGTTAGGAAATTAGGTAGTTTAGATTGGATCATTTTATCACCACATGATATATATAGGTATACCAGTATCTGGTAATGTTTGCAAGTGTCTTGGATGTAAACAGTGGATATGGTGTTCAGTTGTTGAATACTGTTTGGGATAAGAAAACATTTATCTTTTACACACAAATTTTGTTAAGTTGTTGGTTAAGTAGCCAGCATTATACTGTACAATATTGTACATACAGCATGCCTTTCAAATTTGCTGATTTTTAATTCGTGGATGACACCCTGGATGTACCCAAGAATGTCTGAGGGTAGTTTTAAAGTTGCTGGCATTTTCACGGCCGGGACAGGGAGCCATTTGTTCGAGAGAGAGTAATTTCCTTTACCTGTACAGTATTGTATATACAGTATGTGTATGTGTGTAGACACACACACACACACAAAACACATACAAACAAATAAATAATGGGAAAATCCTCTCGCAAAATAATCAGAAACAAATGTCTTAAAAATGTTGAGTCTATCCTCAAGTCCACTCTGTGCTTTATTAATAACAAAGCACAGAGTGGACTTGAGGGTAGGCAAAACATTTTTAAGACATTTGTTTCTGATTATTTGTGAGAGAATTTCCCATTATTATTTGTTTGTGTTTTGTGTGTGTGTGTCCACACATATATACAATACAGGTAAAAAAAATAATTGTCCTAAGGGCAAACACATAAATGGAATATATATTTCTTTGTACACCAGTAAAACTGTAACACCCCCCCGTCAGCAAACGTTATTCGCGGATTTGGCGATTCACTGCCATTTTGAGAACCTAACCCCCATGAATTTGAAGTGCATGCTGTATTTGATGAGGTGTAGCAAGAGTGGCTCTAATGCTCTACTCTTGTCCTAACAGTCACTAGTTTGTACCCAGGACACCTTTAGTTCACCTAGGTGTGACACAAGGCAAGTGAAGGTTGTCAAATACTGTACAGTGTCTGTCTTGCTGCCACTATAGCCTACTGTACAGTGTGCTATATACAGTACTGTTCTGTATACCCTGCCTCTAATGAAGACCACCAGAGAAATGTGATGTATTATGACAGTGAAACATGGGCAGTTATAGAGGATGGCATGTGTAGGCTTGAGTGAGCTGAAATGAGAATGGTGAGGTGGTTGTGCAGTGTGATGATGCTGAAAACAGGAAGCCTTGTTCAGAGACCCAGCTGGGTATTGAGAGTACAGTATGTACTGTATCGGCCAAGATAATTTGGGCATGTGGAGAGAATGGATGTGGCCATTAATGTCAAGAGGTGCAGGAACCTAAATGTGGAGAGGAGGAGAGCCAGGGGCAGGCCAAGAATGACATGATGAGAGTTTGTAAGAAATAACATTGAGTTAAAAACCTGACGAGAGAGTGTGCAGCATGGAGAGCTGCCATCAGGTAATTGTGGCTAATGTTTACTAGTGTGGAAAATGACCATTAAACATTGATGATGATGACCCTATAGTACATGATACAGTAATGTACAGTATTTGATGGGTGAAAGGAAAACACAGGGTTGTTCTGATGTTCTTTATTCCTCTAACATTTTGGGTCGCACAGAACCCATCATCAGAGAGCCTGAAATGTTAGAGAAGTATAGAAAGTCAGCTCAATCCAGTGTTTCCTTCTCACCTCTCAAATACACTTGTCGTCATGGATAGATTACAGTATCTGTAATGTATAGTTGTGCTAACTGAAAATTTATACTGTATAAGTAAATTGCCTAAGGGAAGAATACAGGTACTGTGTATACTGTAGACAATTCAGTGTATTTGTTGTACTAATGGTTTACATTGTTGCAGTTTTAAGTGCTGTGAGAGATGCTCAACTTACTCATGGACTGCGACACAGTGACTACCAGCTGTACCGGCAGTACTGTAGTAGGCGGATACGACGGTTACGCAAAAACCTGGACTTCATCCAGGGCGATAAAAAGAACTTCCATAAAAAGCTTGTGACGGTGGATGTGGTAAAAGATGAGAGGTGAGGTTTACTGGAGTTAGTTCTATACTGGGGGATGTTGTGAATAAGATTATGAAGCTGGACTACAGTAATAGAATGTGTGATAACAGTACAGTACAATATGCCAGTCAAGTTGTCTGTACAAATGAAAGGAGTGGGATATCTGGAGGCCATCTTGTGTAGAGGGTTTATTTGTGAGTTTCCTTGCCGCTGATAGGGAAGATAGGTTCCAAGTGAATTTGGGTATAAAATATCTGGGAACTATTGATTTAAATTGTGATATGGTATTTAATATTTATTATTTTTTTTGTAATCACTGGCTGCGATAGTGACTAATGTGTTAATATCTTGTTTTTTGAATCCCTACCAGGTTTCTATATCCCTCTTATGACAATAGAACGGTATTGGGCGTACGCAATGCAGTTAAAAGAGGAGAGTCAACAAGACCCTCGGAAAAAGTTTTCCATGCGTAACAAACTTCGGAATGCAGCCAAATACGTTGCAAGTTTTGAAAAACTAGTGGAGGCAAGTTCTGTATTTGTGACAGTGTACATTATTTCTGTACAGTGAAACCTCCATATAACGGACTTCTCTCTCCATATAATCTCTAGATGGAGGGTTTCACATATAACGGACCTTCATATAGTGCAATTTCATCTCCATATTAGTCCATTGAATGGAAGTTTCTCTGTATGATTAAAAATAGTTTCCACAAAACCCCAGTCTCTAACCTAACCCAACCTCTATCTCTAATTAACTAAAGGCTGTGCACAATAGATCAGTTTCTTGGTATTGTGTAAATAATATTAATACTGTAATGGATTTTATAAATATCTCCAGATTATTTGTTTGTTATTCATTTGACAGGAGAGTGGGGTGTGTGATGCCAGGACACAGCTGGAGGTACAGGGATACTCAGCCTGGTTACAGGGGACAGTTTTATTTGAACTGGCAGACTGGACACATGAGTGGGCTAAGCCGGTGGAATTCTTCAATAAGGCTTTGTGAGTCCAGTAATTATTTTCCCTTTTTATTTGGATATTGAAACAGTTTATTTAACACAAAAAACAGATACAGAGTGGACAATAATAATAATATTGACATGACTGACCCAATTGAGAGCCTGAGCTCTCTTAGTTGAGAATGTTGCCATGCTAGTATTATCTCTTTAGTAACTAGGTAACATGTATTATATCAAATGTGATTGATTGACATAGCAAGAAGTTTGGTGTAATGCTATTGGCCATTAACTGGGGATGACTTGGAAATAAAATGACAGTAGTACCACGTTGTAAACAGCTCTTCTTGTCTCATAAGTGAAGATAAGCAGCGTTGGGTATGTTTATTACAGTACAGTACTAGGATGGGTGGCCCTTACAACACCATATGCTGCTGGAATAAGGAGTCTATTGGAAACAATCATCTCACGGCTTTGTCACCTGTCGTTGGTTAACGTTAATTGATTAAATTCGTGTAGTGCAGGTAAATGAAATATTTAGTGTTACAAATGCTACAACTTTGTTTATGTAATGGTGAAAATTATTGAATTTTGACAATAATTTTTGTGGTCAATTAAGGATAACCATTAGTATACCTCCAAATTCAACAGCTTTGGGGCTTTACCCATGTTGAATTACTCAGAGGATCTGAATTGTGCAAAGTGCTCTAATTTGTTTGGTGAATTTGGACATTTTGTTGAGGTACTCTACTGTAGTGGGGCTATTTGAACACAATACTGTACAAGAAAGCAAACCAAGATCAGATATTTGTTTTAAATCCAGGGGTTTAATTTATTTACAGGTCACACCCAATTTAGAAGTTTTTCCAATTATCTAAAAAAATACATATACAGGGGCCCCCCTCAAATTCGTGGATTTTATTTTCGCTGTCCTCTATTATTAAGTGGATAACACTGGATGTACCCAAGAATATCTGTGGGTAGTTTTAAAGTTGCCGGCATTTTTGCGGCTGGGACAGGGAACCCATTCATTCTAGAGACAGCAATTTCCTTTATCTGTACAGTATTGTATATATGTGTGTGTAGACACACACACACACACACAAAACACATTCAAATTAATAATAATGGGAAAATACTCACAAATAATCAGAAACAAATTTATTAAAAATGTGAGAGTCTACCTTCAAGTCCGTGCTTTATTACTTTACTAATGAAATACGGACTGTCATTCTGAGCCATCTATAGCATTAGTCTCTGTTTACAGGGTAATCTATAGTAGTCTCTCTGTTTACAGGCCATTTATAGCATTAGTCTCTGTTTTACAGGGCCATCTATAGCATTAGTCTCTGTTTACAGGGCCATATAACATTAGTCTCTGTTTACAGGGCCATCTTAGCATTAGTCTCTGTTTACAGGGCCATCTATAGCATTAGTCTCTGTTTACAGGCCATCTATAGCATTAGTCTCTGTTTACAGGAGCCATCTATAGCATTAGTCTCTGTTTACAGGGCCATCTATAGCATTAGTCTCTGTTTAGGGCCATCTATAGCATAGTCTCTGTTTAGGGTATACATATAGTCTCTGTTTCAGAGCCATCTATAACATTAGTCTCTGTTTAGGGCCATCTATAGCGTATCTCTGTTTACAGGGCCATCTATAGCATTAGTCTCTGTTTACAGGAGCCATCTAGCATTAGTCTCTGTTTACAGAGGCCATCTATAGCATAGTCTCTGTTTACAGGGCCATCTATAGCAATAGTCTCTCGTTTAGAATGCATCTAGCATTAGTCTCTGTTTACAGGGCCATCTATAGCATTAGTCTCTGTTTACAGGGCCATCTATAGCATTAGTCTCTGTTTACAGGGCCATCTATAACGTAGCTCTCTGTTTACAGGGCCATCTATAGCAAGTTGAAAGATGCCGTGTCAGAGGAGGAGGCGGAGGTGTACGGTGGTCGTCTGCAGGAGCTGGAGGTGAAGCTGAGGTTCTGCCGTCATCATCTGGGAGACCGATCAGCCACAGATACTCTTCTGGCCATGCGTGGAAATGAAGCCTCTTTGGTGACAAACTAGACGTTAGTAGATAACAGTTATGGAGTTACATACAGGAATTATAAATTATGTTGATGGACATATGGATTTATCCTGTAAATAGAATCATTAGTGTGTTGTGTTTCCTCTTGATGTTTATTATGTGTTTAGTTCATCATGTTTTAGTTATGAGTTTATTCTGTATGTTTAGTTCAACATGTTTTAGTTATGAGTTTATTCTGTATGTTTAGTTCATCATGTTTTAGTTATGAGTTTATTCTGTATGTTTAGTTCAACATGTTTTAGTTATGAGTTTATTCTGTATGTTTAGTTCATCATGTTTTAGTTATGAGTTTATTCTGTATGTTTAGTTCATCATGTTTTAGTTATGAGTTTATTCTGTAGTTTTAGATTTGTGTAAATTTTTCTCTTTTGTATGGTAATTCATTATCAAGGTCAATAATTAGGATGGATAATCAGTATTTGTTTCTTCTTAACAGAACTTGCTCGCTTCAGCCAGAGAGAGACAGGCAGCCACCCTGAGTGAAGTAACATGGAAGGGCCGCACTTTAGCTGTAAAACATGAGAAAGTGAGTCCTTAAAGTTGTGTTTCATATATTTCCGTAGTGATTATTAATACAGTAAAACCACGTTAAGGCGGATATTGCTTAGGCCTGACAAAATTATTTTCCCAAATAATGCAAAAAA